CACTTCAGGGAATTTATGTCCAACATAGCTTCCGCATAAGTCATGGGATCCTCCTCACTAGTCAAGGCTTCCACCAGGTAACTATCCTGGTCATAGCCAAAACGGACTGGTGGCCTGGACACCCGGGTAGATCTTCTAGGTTGGTTAATACCTGGAACCTGTGGGACACCTCCCACTGACCCTGAGCTCTCCTCATCAAGAACTATTTCCTGACGGTGTGAGTCCAGGATATAATCATTCTCCAAGAACTGTGCATTTCAGCTGCAGAACACATTCTGCTCACTTGGGTCATGGAATAGGTAACCCACAGAGCCTTTTGGGTAGCCTATGAATAGGCAACGACTGGTCTTGGATTCCAACTTGTTTGCACTCGTTCTTTTAACGTGCGCAAGACAACCCCAAATCTTCAACTGTCTGACACTTGGTTTCTTTTCGGTCCAAAGTTCGTATGTAGTATTCGAAACCGATTTGGTTGGAACCCGATTCAGCATGTATATCCCAGTCTCTAATGCATGACCCCAAAAGGATGTGGGTAACTCTGAGCATACGAGAAGTGACCGGACCATATCCAATGAGGTTCTATTCCTCCTCTCTGAAACACCGTTAAGCTGCGGTGTAGCAGGAGGAGCCAACTGTAATACTATCCCGTTGACCTTCAAGTAGTCTCTGAATTCGTCAGAGAGATACTCGCCACCTCGATCCGATCGAAGGGCTTTAATTTCTCTCCCTAACTGTTTTCTCGATCTCTTGTCTGAACTCTTTGAACTTTTCAAAGGATTCGGACTTATGTCTCATTAGGTACACGTAACCATGCTGAGAATAGTCATCGGTAAATGTAATGAAATACACGTGCTGGTTACGAGTCCTAATACTCAGGGGACCACATACATCACTATGTATAAGGTCAAGCGTGCCTGTACATCTTTCAGGCTTATCGTTAAATGGTCGTTTTGTCATCTTACCCTGAAGGCAAGGCTCATAAGTGGGAAGATCTTCTACAGTTAGAAAATCCAAAGGGCCATCCTTTACCAGCTTTGTGATACGGTCAACATCGATATGGCCAAGTCGGTAATGCCACAAGCACGTGGGATTAACGGTATCACGTATTCTTTTCTTGGGGATATCAGCCGATGTAGTTTCGGCTATG